TATACATATTAGCTGTTAGGATTTGTGCTTTTAGTATATTATTTCAAAAATTCTTTCCTAGTATCACTGATGTCTTTATGTATTTAAAGGTTAAGTGTTATTTATGGTTGTCTTTGTCTTAAATACATGTTTTTCTCATAGTCACTAGATTCTGGATCTTACATTTAGGTATATTCAAACACGTATAGACTGACGTAAATTACGTCTGTAGTTTTCTTACATTTATTTCTTTAGAGGTGATTTCTATTTCATAAAATAGCATTGCAGCAGTAAAAGCAAATTTTGTTTCCTGAAATCGAACATGCATTTAAGTTATAACACCTTCAAAAATGACTTTTCCATTATATTAAATTGAATTATGTAATTGAGAGAAAATTTACCACAGGTAATTCCTAGATACCTGATATGAGAGTGTCTGAGACAGAGGCATAATCCATGTTTATTGAATAAATAAATAGTTTATTTGCTTTTTAAAAAGCATCTACCTTAGAGCAATTTTTAAAACAAGGAGTCAAATATATAAAATAGGAAACTGCATAAAAGCTCCTAGCTAAAAGATTAAAGTATGCACTTAAAGGAAATAAAATCCGAACCAGCTTTCTCTTGGGACTTCTATTCTCTGGGATCAGTCATACTTTTAATGCATTTTAACAGTGCTAAAGAAATCAGGGAAACCATTGAAGTGATTAATGCTTTTTGTCTGCCCAAAAGGAAGATCCCTGTGTTTTGAAAAGATAGTTTTATATTCACTTCTAATGATATTTTTAATTATAATAAAAAGAGTTTCTTCTTTTTTCTGTTGCGTCATAAAACTGAAACACATTTGAAAGAGATGAACAGAAAAATAAATATCTAATAGCACGTTTTGTAGCCCTAAACATGAAATCAACACCTGCTCATAATCTTGGCACCACCTTATTTGTACTAGGGTTACTCAGGACATTTTCTTCCAACTCTGTATTGTAGAAATTGGAGATCAAGGAGCAAGAAATGCCTTAGGAATTCGCCTTTCTGAATTGGTCAGTGTGACATTTATTCTTCTGGTTCGAGCAGCCCTCTATTTACAGAGTTTTAACACAACAGTGGTTTATTTCTCACTGGTGCTCTGTGTTCTCTGGGTGGGCAGAAGCTTCCATTCCACGTAGTTACTCGGGAATGCATCTCAACACAGGGCTTAAGAAGAGAGAGACAGCAAGAAGACCTCATGCTTCTTCTTCTGTGCTTGAGCATAAAGTGGCACCTGTCACCTTCCTCTCATAGGCTTTTGCGTGACCCCATCTATGTGCAGGGGAGCTGAGCAGAGTGTGTTCTTCAGTGTGCCTGTAAGGAGAGGACTGCTGGACTTAACTGGGCACTGGGAGTGACTTCCATTGACATACTCATACCACTTAAAATGGGTGGTAACCTAGGCATGTTTCCCTGCACAAATCTTTAAAAATTATTTTTAAATTTTTTAGAGGCAGGAGTCTCGCTCTGTGGCCTTGACTGGGATGCATGAGGGACAGTGGCACAATCTCAGCTCACTGCAGCCTTAAACTCCTGGACTCAAAGAATCCTCCCATGTCAACCTCCCAAGTAACTAGAAAGAGAGGCATGCACCAACATGCCTTGCTAGTTTGTAAACGTTTTTTGTAGAGATGAGGTCTTGCTATGTTGCCCAGGCCAGTCTGAAACTCCTGGCTTCAAACCACCCTACTGCTTTAGCCTCCCAAACACTGGAATTATAAGCATGAGCCAGGGTTAGAGGCATGAGTCACCACGCGTAGCCGCTCCATGACTTTTGATTTTGAACACTAGTCAGAATGACCGTTACTAAAAAATCAAAAAATAATAGATGCTGGAGAGGTTGAGGAGAAAAATGAACACTTAACGCTCTGTTGGTGGGAATACAAATCAATGCAACCATTGTAGAAAGCAGTATGATGATTCCTCAAAGAGCTAAAAGCAGAACTACCATTCAACCCAACAATCCCATTACAGAGGAATATGAATCATTCTATCATAAAGACACATTCATGCAAACGTTCACTGAAACACCGTTTACATTAACAAAGACATGGAATCTACCTTAATGCCCATCAGCAACAAGATGAATAAAGAAGATAAGGTACATATACACCATGGAGTACTATGCAGCCATAAAAAAGAAAGAATGAGATCATGTCCTTTGCAGGAACATGGATGGAGCTGGAGGCCATTATCCTTAGAAAACTAATGCAGAAACAGAAAACCAAAGACTGCATGTTCTTACTTACAAGTGGGAGCTAAATAATGAGAACTTATGAATACAGAGAAGAAAACAATAGACACTGGGATCTATTTGAGGGTGGAGGGTGGGAGGAGGTTGAGAAGCAGAAAAGATAACTATAGGGTTCTGGGCTGAATTCCTGGGTTATGAAATAATCTGTACAACAAACCTCCATGACATGAATTTACTATGTAACAAACCTTGACATGTATCCTGGAACCTAAAATAATGGTTTAAAAAGAAGAATTTGAGTTCAGGTGTTGCACACATCAGTTTAAATCCCTGCTGGGATCCTTATGAGCTGTGTGGTCAAGTTTTGCAACATTACTAAATCTGTTATTCCCCATCAATAAAGAAGAGAGTTCTAATCGTTGTGAATTAACTGAGCCTTGGTAATATTATACCACCTTGGTATACAGGAAGCACTTAGTAAATGGCTGTACTGGCGAAGGAGTGTAGTAGTATGGAGACAGTAGCAAATCCTGGAGGACATAAGAACTTTTTGTTGTATCTGTTTCCTGGTGCTATCATTACAAATTGCCACAGCAGGTGACTTAAAACAATAGAAATTCATTCTCTCATGGTTTTGGAGACCAGAAGTACAAAATCAAGGTGTCAGCAGGGCTGTGTTCCCTGCAAAGTCTCCAGGGGAGTTTCCTTCCTTACCTCTTTCAGGTTCTGATGACTTCAGGCATTCCTGGGCTTGTGCCTGCATCACTCCAGTCTCTACCCCTAATTTCACATGGCCGGCCCCTCTGCGTCTTTGTCTCTCTTCTGTCTCTTATAAGCACATCTGTCATTGGATTTAGGGCCCACCTAGATGACCCACGATGATCTTATCTGAAGATTATTAACTTAATTACACCTGCAAAAACACTTTTCCCAAATACGTTACCATTCACAGGTCTCAGGGTTTTGCTGAGGACATATCTTTTGAGAGAGGGGGCCCTCCATTCAACCCACTATCAAAATGGAAGTGTTTTCTACCCATACATAAATCTATGGCATGTAAACACTTAAAATATTATACCACTTTAAGAATTTGTCCAGCCTTAAAAAGAATGAAGTTGTGGGGAGCTCTAAGTTAATAATGGATGATTAATGAAAATAGTATCTAGTGTTTTTCAAAGTTAGAAGCACATAAGGATTGTCATGGAAACTTGTTATGCAGTGCAGGCTTCCAGCTTAACTCACAGGCTTTTTGATCTGCGAGGACTCTAGTGGGACCCCAAAATACATATATATAAGAAGCGCTACAACAGATGATTCTAACACAAGCATTCAAAATTACTCAGAACCCAAATGCCTGAGTTCTATTCCAGCTTCTTCAAATGACCAATGGGATTGATCTTTAAATACTAATATTTTGATATTCACGTTCTTGAAAAGTAATGATCCATAGACTTCTTAGAGGATCAAAATAGCCAGGATAACTGTGGTTCTGATTTTTGAATTGGTGATTCTTGAATAATAAGATGGGACTGTTTATATTAAATTCCATTTACTAACTTAACCTGTCTCATAATTTTTAAAATGTTGATTTTAGGATTATGTTTCTATTTTAAGAGTTAAACTTTGTAGCTAGATGTTACTAGTATATAATGTCACATCTTTTTGATGCAAGAAAGAGTTGCATTGGACTGAATATGAAATATTATTTTGTGTATCAATTCTATCTACAGCTCTTATCATTATAAAACCACTGTCCAGTTTTCTAATATGGATTGACTCAGGGACAAGATACCCTAAAACAGCCACACGTTTCTTAATGGACTAGCCTTGTATTTATTAATACCAGTCATGGCTTTTCTGAACATGGATTTATACCTGGAATTCCCTTTGTCTCTGTAAATGTATTCAGAACCCTAAGGTACAGACTAAAGATCTACAATCCACATGCTCTTGTGAAACTAATGAACTATTCCTGGAAGCTGCTTGATCAGAGTAAAATATCATGAAATAAGTGTACAGAATCATTCTCAAAATGATGTCTCTCAGAAATTAGCATGTAGATTTCTCTCCAATTATTTACCTATAAAAAGGGTGCATGTAGGAAGTGTTTGCATACGCAATGGAAGATTTGCTCATATTTAGAAACTGTGTATTTTGTATTTAATAAATCATTCACAGTAAATCTCTGTTGCCTACACAGAGCCACTCTATACAATATCTTTGGCATATGTATACGGACAACCCTTTCTGTCTGCATCATTTCATAAGATGCGTTAATAAGTGAGACTTTTGGAAATGTATATTTAGTTGGTGGTAAAGTGTCGTAATTTTTAAATTAAACTCCTAATAACCAACTAAAGGGAAATTTTAATGTGATACAGCTAAATGGAGGCAAAGATTTAGATCATCTCGCTAATAAAAAAAGAAATAGTAATTTACTTATTAGGCTATCTTACGAAGTCTACATGATCCTATTCTAAAATAACTAAAACAGAGTAAAACTGCATGTATGTAGAGGCTCTTATAAAGAATGAGCCTAACAGGTTGGGTTTTGTAAACAATGAGCTTTTTTCTGAAGATTACTGAACAATGTCCATTTAAAACATGCTAATACTTGTAGATCAAAAGGGATATACAGCAAATCGATTAAAATTAAAATTGTATCAATCTCCCTTTTCAGAGTAAGAAATGAAACAAAATGCCATGGAGCCACTATTCCTACCCTAATGTGCCTTTGTTTCTTAGATTTTAGGGTCTTTTCTAATCAATGCATTATATCTGTGTATTCTCTTTTTTACAGTTCAGCAGAAGAGCAGTTTCACTGGCAGTCACAAGGTAATGTCAATCTTATTGATGAAGAGTTACACATATCTCTACTGTTGACTTTTCTCATGAACTTTGAAATGAGACCCAGAAAAGTAATAGGAAAATGTCCCGATAGTAAAATTAAATGATAGCTCACAATTTATTGGGAGTTAAATCTTTCAATTCTGTAGTAACTAGGCTCTTCAAGGGTACATGAAATTGTTGACCTTGGCTTTAATGCTGGTTGACCAAGAATTACAATGGGATAGCTAATGAAAACTTCATAGACGTACTATGATATTTTTTATGATTAAATGATAACCTATTTAATAATAATATATGATGTGTGTGTTCATCACTTTAAAATATTTTATTTCAGATGGTCAAAAAGATATTGAAGATGAGCTCACAACCGGTCTCGAGCTGGTGGACTCCTGTATTAGGTCACTGCAGGAATCGGGAATACTTGACCCACAGGATTATTCTACAGGTGAAAGTAAGTCACATAGCGGTTATGGTTGAAGGCAGTTAAAATATAGGAATATTATGTCATTATTTTTTAATATCATTACATTATGAGCAATATCAAATGAGGATTTCAGGATATTTTTATGCTTGTTTTATCCATTTACCTCCATCCCATCTATTCCTTTCCTACATTGTCCCAGCTCAATTCACATTAGAGTATAAACTCTTTTAAGCCAGTAGTTTTTGTGCTGATAACTGACACACTGGTGATTCTCACTGTTGTCTGATATCATTTTCAATATCTAGACTAGCATATTTTATGAACTCATCATATATTTTGTAGTCAACACGATGTCTGCCTTAAAGTTAACTATCAATGCTTTACTCATACAGATCACTGTTGGTAGAAATCATAAAAAGCAGCAATTATATGACAAAATAGAAAAAAAATTGGTGTACTGTCAGTACTATTCAGTACTATGCTAAGGTACTGTGCAATGAATCCTTACCTTTCTGTATTTAGCCATCTTGCATTGCTGTATTAATTCCATAGAATATTTAAAGTTCACTTTCCCTCCACTTAGTGACATATTTTTCAACCAGAATGGTTGAGGCTTATAAATAAAAGTGTTTGGAGTTTAAATGAACCTCCTTTAAATAAATTATAAAATTCTCTTCACTTATTTTAATAAAATGCCACCAAAGGCTAAAAATTTCATCATTAAAATAGGTATTATCCTGGTAATACATTGAAAACCAGTGAAGCATTTTATTCCTTAATTGAAAAAATAAAATTTCCTCCAATACCCATTAAACTTTACCATGTAAAAGAAAGACAAAAGGGTAAGATAGCATACTGATCTTGAAAACTATGTAATTTACAGATTAGCTCATTTCGTCTATAATCTTTGTAATACCATTACTGTTAGGATAACATTGTTGTGTATACAACAGATATATTTATACCCGTATGCATCCTCTCAATACAATTACTAAAGAAAGATTGGTTTGGTATTATCCTTCTTCTCTGCATTTTGTATTGAAATGTATAATTGTTACATCTTTTCACTCATGGTCATTAAAAATATTTCTCTTGTAGGGATAGCTGTAGTTAAAACTCATCTAATTAATATTTGAAACACATGCACTCATCTTATTAGAGAGTAAGAAAAGCAGCAACAGAATAGTCTGTCTTGTTGGAGAAGAGGGAGACAGTAGTAGAAATCTCATTTTTTAAATATAATAACATATTTGATTATGAGTTTAGGAGGAGTAATCTTTAATAAATGGAAAGTATAGAAAATAAAGCAATGAGTTAAATAAAAAGTAAACGAATTAAAATAGAAGAGATAAATTAGGTATATCAATCTAATGCTGCATGTAAGCATGCTAAATTCTCCTCTGAAAAGAATAAAAGTTCAAACTTGCAGTAAACAAAGATAAAGTAGTTATGAGTTATTCATAACATTTAATGAAATTAGTGTTGAAATGAAAGGAATAGTCAGTGTAGTGCCAGCAAATATAATCAATGCAAAGAGTGGGATTGGAAGAATAACATGAGATAAATTGGAATTTAATACAGAATCACTTAGCAGGGCCAGAGATGGGAGTTATGTAGTGAGCAGTCATATAAAGTTGTGTGAAGCTCATACTAAAATCAATGAGCATGTATGTACCAAAGAGCATACCATATGAATATTAAAACAAATGTTACTAAAAATAAAAGAAGTTGATGAAAAATAGTATTGTGAACATTTGAATGCATGTGAATCAGACAGAACGCCAGAAAGGAAAGCCACAAAATGTTGAAATAACCAATTAACAAAACAATGTATTAAATAAATTTTAGAGGTTTTATTGATTGTATGATAATATGTTTTCTACATATGTCCAAGGAAAATTTACAAAAATTGACCAGCTACTGGAAGATAAAGGTAATTATAAAAATTAAGAAGTATGGAGGGCCATTTTCTTGGATAAAAATCTACCAACATTAAAAGTAAATAATAAAATTGTAAGCAAAATGTAATAATATTAAAACTAAGAAACATAATTCTGGATATTTACTGAATCAAATGGAAATTATAAAGAAAATTGCATAATATTTACCAAGCAAATAAAACAGGAACATATTTTAGTGAAAACAGAGAAGTATGGGGGAAAAAAACACATTCAGAGAACATCTTAACTTCATTATTAAAAATACAAAACAAAATAAAGAATGTTGTACCTAATTTGGAGAAAATCTTAAAAGAGCTAAGTAAATAGCAGGAAACTAGGAAGATGGACATGATAAAAGTAATGCAGAGAAGTAAGAGAAAGTGAAATATTCGAAGGTAAATAAATGCTGGCAGAGATAAATAGAGGTGAGAAATCTATGATTTTTTCAGATAAATATATATTTTTTTTCTGTAAGTCAAGTAATAATATTGAGCTTTCTTAGTTGAGAAACTCTGTTACACAAAAGGAAATGGTAAAGAAAATGTTTTAGTGTTCCTTTTAGTTTGCCTGCAATATGTATTTAAAAATTACCTACAAATAGTTTATAACAGGAAAGTTAAATGCTCCAATATGGTCTTTCCATATATATTTGGTAACCACCAAATGTTTATGTTTTAAGAAAGATTAGTTACTTTATATTGTCATGTACTGAATTATCTTATTGAAGACTCCAAGGATTTTAGTTGATTATTTCTTTTGAAAACTCTTGCATCCTGCTTTGAAGAAAAGAACAGAAACAAAACAAAAAAGAAACAGGTGATAAAAGTACCATTCAAAAGTTGTATCCAAAGGATTCTGAACCACAGTCACATAAAGAATAGTATTATTCTTAAGAACCATTTGCCCTAAACATCTTCAGAGTCACCTTGAGACTGAAGTAACTGAGTAGAATTTAGGAAAATAATTTTAACATATTGGGTAGATAACTATCATTTTGGGGATCAATATTGCTAATTTTAAGTGTTCAGAAGATGATAAAAATCTAAATTGCTCTGTGTATATGTATTAGTTAGGTTCCAAATGAGATGTGCATTCTATTTGAAAGAGTTTAACTGAACAGAATTTAATTAAGGGACTATTTATGAAGAAGTGGGCAGGATGAAGAAAACAAACAGTGCATATTGAGGTATTCAGGCAGTAGAAGACAGAAGCCCTTACCACCTTTAGACCCTAAGGGAAACCAAGGAACTAGTTCCAGCAGAGCCTGGAAGCAAGGAGGGAATCAATGTCCTCATCTCTTTTTCCTCCTGCCCCCTGATCTCCTTCTTCTGCCTCTCATTGGCCAAACCCAACCAGAAGCCAAAATACAAGACTTCCTAGTATGTGTGGGGGATTAGCAGAGAATAAATAAACTGGCCAGCCATGTGCAGAAAGCAGAAACTAGAGCCCTTCCTGACACCTGACACTAAAATTAACTCCAGATGGACTAAAGACTTAAGCATAAGACCTAACACCATAAAAACCCTAGAAGAAAACCTAGGCAAAACCATTCAGGACATAGGCATAGGCAAGGACTTCATGACTACAACACCAAAAGCATTGGCAACAAAAGCCAAAATAGACAAATGGGATCTAATTAAACTCCAGAGCTTCTGTATAGCAAAAGAAACAATCATTAGAGTGAACCAACAACCAACAGAATGGGAAAAAATTTTTGCAATCTACCCACTGACAAAGGGCTAATATCCAGAATCTACAAAGAACTAAAACAGATTTACAAGAAAAAAATAAATCCATTCAAAAGTGGGCGAAGGATATGAACAGACACTTTTCAAAAGAAGGCATATATGAGGCCAAGAAACGTGAAAAAATGCACATCATCACTGGTCATTAGAGAAATGCAAATCAAAACCACATTGAGATACCATCTCACACCAGTTAGAATGGAGATCATTAAAAAATCTGGAGATAACAGATGCTGGAGAGGATGTGGAGAAATAGGAACACTTTTACACTGTTGATGGGAGTGTAAATTAATTCAACCATTGTGGAAGACAGTATGGCGATTCCTCAAGGACCTAGAAATAGAAATTCCATTTGACCCAGCAATCCCATTATTGGGTATATATCCAGAGGATTACAAATCATTCTATTATAAAGACACATGCACACATATGTTCATTGTGGCACTGTTTACAATAGCAAAGACCTGGAACCAACCCAATGCCCATCGATGATAGACTGGACGGGGAAAGTGTGGCACATAGGCACCATGGAATGCTATGCAGCCATAAAAAATGATGAGTTCGTGTCCTTTGTAGGGACATGGATGAACCTGGAAACCGTCATTCTCAGCAAACTGACACAAGAACAGAAAATCAAATACCGCATGTTCTCACTCATACATGGTGTTGAACAATGAGAACACATGGACACAGGGAGGGGAGCATCACACACTAGGGTCTTTTGGGGGGGACTAGGGGTTGGCCAATGGGAGGGGGGTAGGGAGTTGTGGAGGGAAAACATGGGGAGAAATGCCAGATGTAGGTGATGGTGATGGAGGTAGCAAACCACAATGCCATGTATGTATCTATACAACAATCCTGCATGTTCTTCACATGTACCCCAGAACCTAAAGTGCAGTGAAATATATTTTTTAAAATAATAAAATTAAACAAACAAAGAATAAAAAAAAAGTGTACAGCTATATCAGCACAGCATTCTCCTCAGTAGAACAAAAGCATACCATATGTAACTCTCCGATATAGAAACATAGCAAATAGATACAGAGTACAGAGTGGCATGTTGACAGATTTCATCTAATTAGGAAAAGCCCATCAGTTTCTGCCAGTTAGTGATTATTCAATCAATGGATTCATTATCTATGAACCAGCTAATGCTAAATTGGACCTGGCACCCTGCCCTTGAGAACCAGGGTTCTCTTAATCCTCACTCAAAAGAGACTAAAACAAGGCTAAATACTGTCTAAACTCAGTCTGGAAAAGTTTTAAAATGGAAAGCAGTCTCACCACATAAGGGCATAGTTCTTAATTTGTTGTATATAAAGCTTTTTGCTATTTTTCAAAG